AACTCGGAGTGACTCTGACTTCCTATTACATCAGGGTCAGAGTCCTTTTTTTTTTTTTTTTAATATGTTCCTTTTACTGCAAGTTCACATCTTATGTATCCTATCTGTGTCTGTTTGCATCTTTCAATATTTTATTGTATTTTTCTATGTTTCCGCCATTCTGCTGCACGCATCCTTCTTCCTACTTCTGTGTCGTTATCTGTGGTACTTCCATTTCCCAGGTTCTCTCTTCCCTTCTCTTTAAATTTTACTGATTTTTCAAAGCTGACGTTACAGCATGTGGACATCATGCAGTCTGCTCGCCCTGGCCTGTCTTGTGTCCCCATGTGTTTCATCTGGGTTGGTGATTTCCCAGATGTCCCTCAGGAAAAGGACACTTCTGTCTCCCCAGAGTCCTATTTGTTGATTGACTGGTGGTGGGGGCTGTGAACATTTATTGAGTACTTACCGGCCAGGCTTTGCATGTATCAACTCACCTAAGCCTCATGACAGCTTTGTAAGGTAGATTCTGTTCTTATTTACTTAGGAAACTGAGGACCCAGAGGCTAAGTGAGAGCGGGCATGTGAGTCCAGAGCCCAGACAGGCAGGCCCAGAATGTAGTTGTTATCTCCTGCACTGGACTGCCTGGTGTATTCAAGAAAAGTTGTATAAGGAGTGTATGATACTTCTAACAACATTTATTTAGATTTAGAATGTGTATTAACTTTGTGATACAGGATCGGCAGTTCGTTACAGTATGATTAACAACACGTTAATCCCTTTTTAAATCTTTTCATAAGCTTATTGAATATCAATTCAGTTTTATAGAGCCGGTAAATCTTAAGAATATTCTAAAATATTACTGACATAACCAGTTTTCAGTTACTTGTCCCCCCCGCCAATCATAGTTACTAGAGAAATGGAGCATGCTTCCTGCTAAGCTTCAATACCACCAGGTCCTCACTTATGAACAGGTTTATGTATGTTCATTTTAAGTTGGCTGTCTGGAACTTTGTTTCAGTGGGAGAATATATTAAACTTGGTGTTAAGGATCTTAGGAAAGGCACAGTGAAATGTTTGATTTATATATGCAGTGGTATTCGAATATTGGGCCTGTAAGAATGAAAAGGGGTATTTGTTCATTGGCATTCGCTGGCTCTATGTGGAACATTGTGTAAAGATGCTCACATGTTAACATCAGTTCTTACCTGGACATCAGGCGCACATCAGCCTTCTGTAGTAGTAGACACAGGAGCTTCCTCCCCTCACCCCTTTCTGTCCCTACCCCTCTTGCCACCAGCCTGACTGGAGGACTTCTTTGGCTCTGAACCACATGTTGAGCAGGTGTACTCCCTGTGAGCCTGTTGGCTGGGATCAAGGACAGGGGCTCCTGGGATTAGGGAATCTGATGGAGGTAAGTAGTTTCCAGTTCCGCGCCTTTCTGTTTTCTGGTAATCCCGAATCACCACCTGCTTGGCTGCTTTTGGGCACCTGGCTTTGCTTGGTCTTACTGTGTGTGTCTGTGGTGTGTGAAACCATAATACAGAAACAGTTCGCTAAAAATGTTGAGTGTATCCAAGGTAGCTGGTAAAGCAGACAGTCCCTGCTGTTACCCATCCCCTCCAGAGGTGACGGCCTCCGTGGAGACTCGGAGCTCCTCCCAGCATGACTCCGTCCCAGCATGGGCTCTTCCTGCCCTGCTGCTGGAAGATCACGACCTTTCCCTTACATCCGTCTCGACCTTCCTTTATGCGGAGAAAGAATGTCATGATTTTTCCGTATAATTTTCATCACTAACCCAGTATATCCCCAAAATCAGGTC